TTATATTAAATTAAGGTCAACTTTAGTTTGAAATGACAGAGCTGCGTAATGCAACCTTTTCCAACCTTTTAACTTAAATCAAAAAAGCTTTTAAAACATTAATGCAATTTAAAACTTTATTATCTGGCAAAATATATATGAGACTTTTAAGTTTATCGTTTAATCATATCGTGGAATATTACCCTATAATAAAATTTAATTTCTTTCTACAACCAAAGTTTTATACTCACTTAAACATTGCTTAAGAAGAAACCTATTCTATACATAACATATTAGCTTCGGGGTAACTTTGTGTTCTAGAAAAAACAAATCTAGGGAATTAAATGAAGGATACTGAAGCCAATTTAATAGTTTTTAAAATATTTCTGTGTCTTTCAGTGTATTCACAATGGGTCATTCTACGAACCTGAGAAATTTATGTTCGCGTAATGTACGAGTAACTTCATTAATACGACGTCATGATTCGTTATTTGCTGTGATATTAAATGGGACATCACCATCTATATTTGACATTCATTATTTTGTAGGTAAGTAATGGTTTAATGAATAAAAACGTGTCGACAATACGTGACGTGTCATGGTCTGTCGACTGCTCGCCGACGCCCTGTGAAGGTTCAACGGCTACTTAAAAATAGAAATTCTTAAGCTACTAGCTAAACTTATAATTTTTGAAACGATACCAGTCCTTAACATTAACACTAAAACACTTTTAAAAATTATGTCACACAATTATAAAAAATATTGATGTTTCTAGAAGCGTTATAAATTTTTTGTCACAACTGTCGACATGCAAAGTTTTGAATACTAGAATCAGAAAGCTTATTATTTCAACGTTGTTTTGCTTTGTATGGCAATATTAATGCATACCTGTCAGTGATAAGTCACATTTTTTGATGGAACAAAAGCGAGCTGCTGAAAATTTTAAATTGAAAAGAGGTTCTACAAGTGTGTCAAAGTTGAAGAGTCACTTATAGCCTTGTAGAAAAAAGGTTTCACGTAGTTCCGAAACAACAATGGATATTATTACCTCTAAATTGTAGCTTTGAACTTAAGTAGATTAAAATTTGTCACTTCTGTCGAAGTCAATTCTGTCGACTACTTTGTCGACAGAAATGACAAATCTCGACCGAAGTGACTACCGCCTATGTTTATTATGCATTAATCAGTTAAACTGCTTGTCAGGGCAAATCAAGTATTACATTATATAATAAGAAATTCAAAGCCGATTTTGTTCGTTATCTCCATGGTTGTCTCAACCAGGTGTGGCCCGTAATTTGAGAAAAAAGGTGTTTAATATTTAGTGTTGAAGTAGCTGTTACGAATTTATAAAACACGTAAAAATAACTATTAAATAACTAATATATATATATATATATATATATATATATATATATATATATATATATATATATATATATATATATCTAATTCGTATATTATTCTTTTAATTAAAATTCTACCAAACAACGCTTAGTTGACAGGATATATTAATGTATTGTTATTTATATTTATTTTATTCATATAAAGTTTACGACAAAATTTAGTTATAGTTCAAGGATCTGACATAAATTCTATCAAACTTTAAAATACTACTAAATCACATTTTGACTGAGTAATCACGAAATTTTCAAAATTTTTTTATTGATACCTTTATATATTTTAGTAAAATATATAAAGGTATCAATAATCTGACTCCAAAAATACAAAAACGAGTACGAATAGAACGGCAAGGATGTACTCGAACACACCGTGAAAAGAAAAGGAACTCAGAGAAACTGACATTAGACTTACAAATGAAACACCGCCTTTATAACCAGTACCGCAAAGCTCCAGATCTTTAAGAAATGTCATGGGCTAACAGATTGCAGAGAAAAATCGAAGGAAAATAAGAGTTGAAAAGAAATATTTAAGAGAGAGGATTTTGCTACTTGAAAACTGTTTAGCTAGCTATAAGATGAGAATGCTACAAAAATCGTGACAAGGCGCCCCAAACGGCATAGGAAGATACGTCAAGAGAACAGGAGATGCTCATGTACTAGTTGGGCGATACGTCTCTGATCGCGAATCATTAATTACGTGTTTGCAAGGGACTGGCATGTTATACGTGGTAGAGCCATGCTGCAGCTATATTACTATCTATCTAAAGCAGTATATGCCTCTAAAGCCAATAAAAAGAGGCTATAAAGTGTGGACAAGAGCTGATCGTGCGACAGGTTACGTCTTTGAATTTGACGTTTACACTGGGAAACGTAAACTGAAGTTGGACTTGGAGGAAATGTTGTAAAACTACTTACAAGAAAACTGATCGATGAGGGTTGGTGGCTGATGTTTCATTTGACATTTTTTTCGTCACATGATATAATGCAATATTTATACGATAACGGGATTTATGCCACTGCCACAGTAGTAAATAGAAAAGATCTACCTGAATTTTATATAAAAAACAAACAATAAAGGCAAACAATTGAAGCTCGATCGGGGAGAAATTAAGTGGCGTACAAAGAATAATGTTGCATTCGTTTCATGGCAAGACACAAAATTGGTTTCTTTTTTGACAACGACGTTTCACCCGTAACTGGATAAGACTTTTTGTGACCGGAAACAAAAAGACGGCACAAAAAAGGCATTTCAACGTCCACTGACAGTATTGCAATACACTGACCGAATGGGCGGGGTTGATCGGTTTGATCACCTCAGAAGTTCATATGAAGTTGGCAGACGTAGCAAGAAGTGATGGCTCCGTCTGTTTTATTCTTGTGTGGACTTTTGTATTGTCAACTCTTTCTTGTTATACACTAACAACAAGAGGGTACACAACCCACTATCTCAGCTGCATTTTCGACTAAGTTTAGTCCGAGGTCTTATTAAGAACTATACATCGGGGAAGAGAAGAAAGCGAACCTCTGCACTTGAAAAAGAAGCCGAAAATCTCAACGAAGAGGCAGAAGATAATTGGAGTGGATGAAGAAATTCGCTTATCCAATGCATCGATAAACACGAAAACATTAATTCGTGGCGTCGCTGTAGAATGTGCAGCACAAAAACCAATAATAAACGGTCAAAAATACAGTGCGCCACATGTAAGGTACCGCTGTGTGTAGTACCTTGCTTTGACTTATTTCATTCCAGCCATCGATCACTAATATTATTAGTGATCGATGATTCCAGCAATTAGATAAACAATAACAAGATATAGGAGCGAGCGATTGTATCGCTTATCGCTAGGGATTTTCGAAAAATTATCGGATCCGTTTCATATTCAATAGGGGCCTTCAACGCGACGGCAGAAATACTTTGAAAAAATTATCTCAATATCTCATCGCGTTCTTGAACGCGTTGAACTGTTTAAAATCTTGTTTGAAAACGGATTTTTTATTTATTAATAAATGAGACATTATCAGAAAATTTACTTTTTATTTTCATGCAGTGGCATAAAATTAAAAATTTAAATTTCGCCTCTCTGTGATCTTAATCACATTACTTTAAACCTCTATTAACGTGCACGTTACTAACGCGTCTAGTTTCCTTTGCCTTATAAAGGGTTGAAATATCAATAGTATTAATAGTGTATTGCCTAATAAATTTAAAGACGCTATATTGGTATAGTAACTTAACTTATTAACTTTGTTTAAGCAGCCTACTTCACGTCTTTTAAAATAAAAAGGTCATAAAATACATACGATTATGCGACATTGGGGAACAAACTTTTGCGAAATACGTAACTTATTAAGTGCTTTTTCTACTCAATGACATTGAAAGCCCTGAGCTGTTATACTTGTTGAACGACTATTATTTTCTGACAAAAAAGCAACTTTAAAGACAAAAACACAGTTTACATAAGAAGCCAATAAGGCAGTTTTAACCGCATCTATAATATAACTTTTTTATAGGATAAGGGTGACAAACGAGTACACAGTCCACCTGATGGTAAGTGGTTGCTGTGGCCTATAGACATCTACATCTATCTTCGATTACGAATCAAAATGCAGATGCGTTGTCACCCGTGAGGACTAAGATGGAATGCCTCGTTTCCAGTAAAAAGGGTCTCAGGTTCTCTACACTCGCCATACGAAACACAGCAGCATTAAGCTGCTATTTTACGCTGGTATTCTGAGAGAGCGTGGTCCTTCCCCGGTCGAGCCGACCCATTCGTGCTACAACAATAATATAGCTGCAGCATGGCTCTACCACGTATACCACCAATTATAATCGTATTGTGGCGGTATAGTGGATGGCGGGTAAGAGGCGACAGAAGGAAATTGAAACTGGAGATGGGCCGCAGCATAGAATCTATTAGACTAAATTACAATATTATTATTATTATTACTCTATGGGCAGCATCTTCCTGCTAACAACTCTAACTTCAGTCTACGGCGGAATACAATAGAAAAGTGCACTGATTTCTTGATTTTTCTAGACTGTAATGGATAGATGGATGGACGGAACACAATTATTAAAGTCCATCCAAAGATTACATCTGCTCCTCTTCATAATCACAAAGCAAGACCTCACTCCATCGAACTACCACATCATTCAGTTCACATCATTCAGTTCTTCACTAGTTACAGTGGCAGTGTTTTACTTTGTTACTCACTACATACTAATTAGCACACTTAAAAATTTGGTTCAAGTCTACTGATCATAACATTCTCTGAAACCTACGATTCAAGCAAAAAAAGACAGAAGACAGGTTTATAGATTATTTATTTTAAATTTTATTACTTTAGTATATTATTCAATTTAAAAAAAAAACAGGTTAAATTCGATTTTCCTGTTTTTTATATTTTAAAACAAATTTTAGAAAAGAATATATCAAATTTCACGTGTCAAGTGACATGTGTTCTGCCTACTAACCATACAGCCTGTTAACATGTTCCTTAATACACATTTCTCAAGAAAACTTTCAAATCCATATAATTAAGTATAATATGAATATAAATCAAAATAAAACCAGGGTACAAAGAACGCATGGAATTTTAATGTATTTCAGGGTTCGGCCACTAGACCATTCCTTGACACACGTCAGAACAGATCTTACTGGTAGAGAATCTGTTAAAGTTACCTCCACATCCGCTGTACGAAAAGCCACGGCATGTTCTCGTATCGAGCTCGAAGTACCACCTGTTTCATGAAAATGTACAAGTTAAATCGTGCGAGAATAATTGTGTCCTCTAGACCGAATTTCGGTCACGGTGACTAGTCTCGACGTAGGTTAGCCAACTGCGCAGAACAGGATTATAGTGTTATGAGTGAGTGCGCAAACACAGGTGCACTCTCTGTACCCACAATCACAAAGTTCGATGATTCGACAATCCCACATCACGTGGGATAGATCACGCGCAGGACTAACTGCTTTATGTGCTTTCTGGGGTACGAGGGTGAGACATCACCAGCTTTCCGACTTCGGGCTGTTTCTGAGAATATCTAGTCCGAAAACTCCAATAATTTAGTTTGGTGGAACCCGGGATTCTAACATGGACTCGTGCTTTTGCAACCTTTAAACAAACTAGGTAGTCATATATGAGATAAACTGCAGAAGAACAATTTTTTTTCCAAACTAGCATTTTACCCGCGGCTTCGCTCGCGTTGGATTCAATTTAGAAATACCATTAAAACTATTCCAATTAAAAGTTAAAATTTCTAAAATGTATGTAGTTCTATTCACGATGAACGTGTGAGATAAACTACATTCATAAACGGGAGTAGAAATATAGAGAAGATGGGCAGCAGCATTTTTCTGATTATAGCTTAAAATAATAAAAAGATGCAGTTGGCAGCCCGCCTGCCAAGAGGGGCAACAACTTATTTCGTAATATATGGTGGGAATTTTCTGTACGTGGTAGAGCCACGCTGCAACTATATTAGTAATATAGTTGTAGCACGAATAGGTCGGCTCCACGGGAGAAGGACCACGCTCTCACAGAATACCAGCGTAAAATAGCAGCTTAACACTGCTGTGTTTCGTATGGTGAGTGTAGAGAACCGGAGACCCTGTTTACTGAAAACGAGGCATTCCATCTTAGTACTCACGGGTGACAACGCATCTGCATTTTGATTCGTAGACGAGGATAAATGTAGATGTCTATGGACCACAGCAACCACTTACCATCAGGTGGACTGTGTGCTGGTTTGTCACCCTATCCTATATTAAATCGAAATAATGAACGGGAGTAGAAATATATCAGCAATGTAGAGGCGGCGAAATAGAAACCAATACCCCATTTCCTCTCGTGGGTGTTGTAAGAGGCGACAGAAGGGAAACTGAAACAGGAGATGGGTAACGCATCTTCCTGATAACAATGCAAAATAATAAAAAGCTGCCGTTTGGTGATTCTGAGTATGGACTCAGAATCACCAAACGGTATTCGCTGAAGGTCATACAGGTTTACACACCATCCTCGGCACATCCCGATGAGCAGGTGGAGCAAATGTATGAGCATATCTATGCCATGTAAATTATAAGGCAGCCGTTGGTGGATAGATCTATATAATCTATATATGTTCATCAACATGCTAGCGCAGTCTGAGCCCTTAGGCCGCAGTCACGTGTAGCATTGTGACAATAGTCGCTTCATAAAAATAAAAGACATTGAGACATAAAGAAATACACGTGTATAAGCAGTGACAAGAAAGTCTAGCGGCGACCGTTATTGCGTATAAGTCGCGCTGATTGGCTCGTGCGTATGCGACTCTCCAGTCGTATTCGCGCAATTCAATTCATGCGTGTCCCCTCCACATTTCTTTCTGCGTTAGACTTACGTGCCGCCACTTGTATACACAAAATTAAAATGGAATATCTGAACTGAATTTTCAAATCATATTTTACTCAAAAGAAAACAGCAACCGCAAAAATGAGTCAAGAGTAATATAAAATATTTAAAACAAAACAAGTTATCTACATTGAATATCTGTCTTACTACTCACTTTTCTAAACGCGTCTGCGGCTTCGCTCTAACGAACATGGCGACTTAATATAGCATTGCAGAATATAAAATCTAATAAGACTATACAGTATTAATGGGGGACTTGAACGCAAAACTAGGCACAAGAGAGAACGGTGAGCTGAAAGTAGGGAAATTCGGAATAGGGCAAATGAACCCAAGGGGCCAGTAGCTGGCCGACTTCATGGAGAAAGAGGGACTCTTTATGATGAACTCTTTCTTCCAGAAGCGGCCCCATAGGAAATAGGCCTGGTCGAGCTCCGACGGTTCGACACAAAAAATGAGATTATCTTTATTATTTATTAGACCAGACGACAAGTGTTCAGTAATATTTCAGTGATAGCGAGGGTGAAAACTGGGAGCGATCACCGAATGGTTAGAGGCACACTAAACCTAAACGTTAAGTTGGAGAGGTGTCGTCTAATGAAGTCAACGCTCCGTCCCCCTCGTGCTGTAATCCTAAGTCCCGAAACTTTTCAGCTCTAACTACAATCATTTTCAGTACCTAGAAGATTGCAATGCAGTGGACGATATAAATGACAAGCTCGTGAAAACTGTCCATGCGGTAGGAGCTAAGTTTTGCAAGTCCGGCCGCACAAGAACACAAAAACTCTCCGATCTCTTAATCTCATGGCTATTAGACGGGAAATAAAGCTGCAGTCTTCAGTAGATTTGATAGCATACAGGCAACTAAATAGACAGATCTCCATATGCATGCGGCGGAACATACGCAATTTTAATACTGCTCGTATTGAAGAAGCGATTGAGCGGAACCAGGGCTCTAAATTCGTTGCTAGAGATCTGTCTGCCAGAAAGTGCCAACTGTCGAAGCTGAAGACCGAATGTGGCAGTATCGTTTCCGAGACACCTGAAATTTTGAGTAAGATTGAGAGATTCTATGGGCAGCTCTACATGTCATAGTTGGAGCCACACGCAAGTGTGAGTAACGATCCAAGAGCAAGTCTTATACAGCACTATTCCGATGATATCCCAGACGTCAGTATGAGTGAGATTAGAATGGCTCTCCAGCACCTTAAAAACCGCAAGGCCCAGGCGAGGATGGAATTACGTCGGAGCTTCTGAAAGCAAGTGGAAAACCGGTAATTAAAGTCCTTCAGAAGCTCTTTAATTCCGTCCTTCATGGAGGTACTGCTCCGGAGGCGTGGAGCAGAAGTGCGGTGGTCTTGTTCTTCGAGAAGGGCGATAACGCCCTTTTGAAAAACTACTGACTGATTTCCCTTCTGGGCTGCGTCAACGTGCTGTTTTCGAGAGTCATTACGAATCATCTCGCATGTAGATTTTACGACTTCCAGCCTCCCGAACAAGCCGCTTTTCGAAAAGGATTTAACACCATAGACCACATACATACACTTCGGCAAATTATACACAAGACCGAAGAGTACAATCTCCCACTTTGTCTTGCGTATGTATGTAGACTATGAGAAAGCATTTGATTTCATCGAAATTTGGACGGTGCTGCAGTCCCTCCAGCGGTGACAAGTGGACTGTCGGTATATCGAAGTGCTGAAGTGTTTATACAGTAGGGCTACGATGGTTATCCGAGTACAGAACCAGAGTACGGAATCTATCCAACTGCAGAGAGGTGTAAGACAGGGTAACGTTATATCCCCGAAACTCTTGCCATTGGTGTAAGACATTGGAAGACGTTTTCAAGGTACTGGACTGGAGTGGATACGGTATTAACGTCAATGGCGAGTACTTCAATCACTTTCGATTTGCCGACGATATAGTCCTTAAGGCAGAATCGCTGGAGGACTTAAGCTTTATGCTAAATGACCTCAATAATGTCTCCCAACGGATAGGTCTTAAGATGAACATGGATAAAATAAAAATCATATTTATCATCCATGCCACACCTATGCCGGTAGTTTTAGGGAGCACTAAGGTCGAAGTTTTTGACGAATATGTTTACCTGGGACAGATAGTCCGACTTCGACTGAGGTCAATCGACGGATTCAACTCGGCTGGGCAGCGTTCGGGAGATAACGACACATCTTCTCGTTAGAAATACCTCAAACATCAAAACTAGATTGTTCAACCAGCGCGTGTTGCCAGTGATTACCTATGGATCTGAGACGTGATCCTTCACTGCTGGCCGTATGAGGAAGCTCAAAGTCGTTCAGCAAGCTATGGAGAAGGCTATGTTCGGCGTTTTGCTGCGTGATACACATAAAAACGAGGATATCCGCAGTAGAACCAGAGTAATCGATAGAGCCAAAAGAACTAGTATGCTGAAGTTGCAATGGGCCGGCAACCGAAAACCGATGGGGAAAAATGTTCTCGAGTGGCAGCCTCGTACCAGCAGGTGAAGTGTAGGGTGTCAGGAAGTCAATGGATGCAGGTGCATCGGGACCGTGCTTTGTGGCATTCTTTGGGGGAGGCCTATGTTCAGCAGTAGCCTTGTAAAAGGCTGTAATGATGATGATGATGATAATCATGATAAACAATATAAAGAAATTGCAATATAGTGTTTAGTTGTTAATATCGCCAAACGATCTCTATTCATTGATTAGGTCAAGCTATATTATGGTATAGTCAAAAGCAATGTTAAATTTCATTAAATGCCACCATTTCGTACCATTATCGATCACTTTATGATATTATTCTAAGATTTGGCCAATATATATAAAAAAATATTTATTAATTTATTCTTTATTGTATTACACCTTAATCTAAAGATTTACAATGGGCGTGCTTACTTAATGCTTTATGGCATTTTTTTCTCTACCAGTCAATACTGAGAGGATTAAACAAATAAAAGTTAGTAAGTGTCAAAAAATTTAAAAAAATACTAGACATATATTGTATATATTTACATAAAATATATTCGCATACGTGCTAATAATACATATATAAAAATAATATAAATTATGAAAATATTAAATAATATATATAATAAATATAAAACCTCATTTTTTGAAGTTACGCAATCGGATAAAAAATTGCTTTTAAGTTGCGCCAGGTCCCTAACTACATACACACAAAATTTCATGGAAAACTGTCCAGTATTTTTTGCGTGAATCGGCAACACAGACAGAGATTTAGTGCCCTCTATTTAGTACCCTGGAATTGTTTTATCCAGAAAATATTTTCTACAGATTTATCACTACGATATAACTATCACACAGAGAAACCACGAACATCGGTTTCATAGCTCGTTGAGCTAACTATGGCCTTTAATACAGCCAGTAGTTAAGGGCCGTCATCATCATCAGTGGCCCACACTTACTTGGTTATGCAATAGAAAAAATGTACGAAGTGATATTGAAAGAAATGAAGTGATTTTTTTATTAAAAAAATACCTCGTTTTTATCATATTCTTGCTCTGTCATCGGAATTTGAGCTATATTCAAAATTTCAAGTTTCTAGATCATCGGGCATTTAGTTTAAAATCAATTACTATATTCCACCCGGAACTACAGACAAACAAGAAAGTGACTTAATGAAATTTACCATTATATTTATAAGCTTATAAGTATGTAAGTCTCTGATAATATTACAGAGGAGCGAAGCGCTGGCAATGACAGGTGCAACTACTGTCATCACCGCTTTATGACTTGGTCTATGACTGTAGTTATGTATGACACCAGTAAAGAGTTTCGTTCAAAATTATTACTTACATAGGGTGATAGCTGTTACAGTTTCCAAAATCAGGTTGTAGTCTGCAATACATACTTGGCGTTAGCTTGGGAATCGGTTTAATGCCGGACTCTGAAACGTTTCCCTGCTTAAGTTATATTATCTAGAAAGATTTGAAGCTCAATTTTATTTAAAAACGCCTGACTTTTATTGAAACGATATCTTCTGATTAGCCCTTTAACAATTTTCAGTCATAATAATATTATGTAATATTATGTAACTATCATATCATTAATTAACTGAATTTTACACATGTTTGTCACATACGTAGAACATCATTATTATAATTTAATTGTAGAGCTAGAGCGTCCGCCTTGTCACATTAATTTGCCATACGCCTACTCAAGGACAAAGGACCCAGAATTAAATCCTAAAGAACACTTATTTAATATTACGCTTTTTATGATATATTGAATCTTTTAGCTTTAAAAGTCTTATACGCGTGTGATATAATACATTACAGCTTTCTGCATATCATATTATTGAAATTTACGAATCGAAAATTGTATACTTATTTCATAAAGTCAAATGCATATGAAATTTCCACTAAACACTCTTCTAAAGGCATGAAAACCTATATATTTGTATAATTATTATTATTGAATTTATATAGTTCTAGCTGTAGCCAGAACTACTTTCGCGTGGGCGTTAGCACGGTGGAGTCCTTAGTTATTTGTATATTAAATTAAATTAATTGTTTGTATAAAATTGAAGAAAAATCTCTTTGGCTGTACTGAGACATTTAGAAAGAAAAAAAGAAAAAGGAAAACACACTTTTCCCGCCATTTTTGAATTGATATTCTGTCCGCCAAAATGAGTGTATCTAACGAAGAAATTTGATACATTCTGAAGTTATATTTCAAAAAAAGGGAAAAATACGTATCAAGCCGCGAATAAATATGTGACGTTTATGGATCTAATGCAGTGTAAGAGTATCACAAAAATCGTTCAAGCCTTTTCAGTCCGACAATTTTGATGTCAAAGATGCAGCTCGCTCTGGTCGCCCTCATATGGATAAAGTCGATGCTATTTTTGAATAAGTGGAGTAAGGTCGGCGTATTAGTGGTAACGATATAGACCATAATTGAAGATTGACCGCAAAACAGTCTTGACCCGTTTGAAAAAGTCTGAATATACAAAAAACTCGGTATTTGGGTACCACACGAGCTCAGTGAAAGAAAGCTAATGAATCGTGTACTCATTTGAGATTCTTTATAGAAACGTAATGAAACCGAACCATTTTTAAAAAGATTGATCGCTGGTGATGAAAAGTGGATTACCTACGACAAGATTGTGCGAAAAAGATCATGGTCAAAGGGTAGTCATGCTCCACATACTGTAGCGAAACCCATATCAACACAATCCGAAATGCATTCTATAGAATACCGAAAGGCTGGCTACTCTGGGCCCAGGCTCGAGGTTGACCAGATTGGTTTCAACCACAAAGTTGCCAATAAGTCTCTTAGCACGTCTAATCACTGAGTCAAACGCTGCTAGGTGGCATTTTGCAGCACCAGCCCATTTATGAAAGCAGTACTGGATCCATGCAAGAATGAACTTGCACTTTATAAAAGAAAACTGACCCGGGGTGAAGTATCCAGCCGCACCCAGGCTAGATCACCCAGTTTCCTTGCAACTGCTTTAGGATTTTGGCTTTGGTTCGAAAAACCTTAACCCCTAACAACTGAAGCCGGTCAGTGTTATGTGTTGTGACCGGAGACCCTTTTTACTGAAAACGAGGCACTCCATCTTAGTCCTCAGGGGTGTCAACGCATCTACATTTTGATTCTTAATCGAGGATAAATCTAGATGTCTATGGGTCACAGCATTCACTTACCATCAGCTGGATTGTGTGATCTTCAGTATTATTAGAGCGCAAAATATACATAAATATACATACATAACTTTTTCATGCAATCACTTTCCAAAATAATGATTTTTTGCCATTACTTATACTTTTTCTCATTTGTAAATTTATTAACCTATGTATATAACATAATATTACATTTATTTTTATTTGACTAAATAAAAATGAAGTTTTGAAATAACTGGCTTTCGTTATGGTCAGTGGGTTTTTATGCAAGACATTAATAGTAAAAAATTACATAAAGTACATTTAGTAAAAAAAATCTGTCTTTCTGTCTGTTAGGGTAGAATCTAATAGCTAAATTTGGCACATTTTGACGAATGTTACCAAATAATATAATCCGCCTACAGTATTACTTACCTCGGCAAGTGTTGTGACAATCTGACAACGATGTAAATTGATTCACATTAAGTTTACATTTTCCGAATTCATATGATCGACAGTCTTGCAGTTTGATATCATAATAGCTGCAAAATTAAAAACGATCATCGAGAACATAATCAGCACGTTTTAATTAACCATCGCATGACTGAGTGATCAAAGTAATTGACCACTACGCCGTGGGTATTTCGTTCAGTCCAATCAAAATTTTAATTTTGATTTTCCATTCTGGACGTATAATTGTTTATCTCACGTGTTTCTCACTTTTGCTTAGTCTCTTTTCTTGTGACTGGAAAAGCATTTCATCGGGAAGTAGTAAGTTAAAATGAACGTCACTGTATGTGATTTAGCGGACTAACTAATAAAAAAAGCATCATATGCGTTTTCACAACCAGTATGTGTAAAATTACAGCCTATACACATCCCACTGCTAGACACAGACCTCTCATCATTTCTGAGAGGGGTTTAGGTCAAGGAAGTGTCCACCGCGCTGCCATAAAGCATGTTGGCGGATTCACATCTTCAAAATATTTTTTTATTTGTCAGACATGTAGCTTTCCTCACAATGTTTTCCTTCACCGCGGAGCACGTGATAAATCAACACATAAAACTGCAATTAATAATTTCAGTGCTGCTAGCGGGGATCGAACCCGGGTTGCTCGCGTACTGTGATATTTACAGCAAGCACTAAGTCCTTGAGCTACCACAGCTATGCTTTAAATGTGTGTTTATTTATTTTGCAACAGAAATGTTTTCAGATGTGTATGGTTTAAAAGATATGATTTTTTCCTTATTTCTAAAAAAGTTTTTTTGCTCCGGTCTCACACCAACATAAGACAAGGAAAGACAGCGCTGCCTATGTTTGAAGTTATCCAAAAACCAAGTCAAAACTATGCTAAACTTACTGTAGGAACACGTACGCACGCTCACATATTCATCAACAATCATTTTCCAAAAGCGAAATTTCACAGGCTGACAAAGATAAAACAAAGACATGTGCGTGCGTGCGTGTTGTAAAGTTGAGCATGGTTTCGGCATCACTTGAAATAACGCAACGCTCCAATTATCTTCTTCGTTAAACAAATTGTATCTATACATACATATAATAAATCTGTAGAAAAGTCATGTCTGTAATTCTAATATATTCTTGAAAAAACAAGTCCAGGGAACTTAATAAAGGGCACTGAAGCCAAATTAGTGGTTTTAGAATTTATGTCTGTCTGTTTGTGTATTCAAAATTCACGCAAATACCACTGGACCGACTTCTATGAAATTTTGTATTTAGGTAGTTAGTAACCCGGGGCAACTTATAGGCTACTTTTTATCCGATTACGGATCTTCGAAAAAAGAAGGTCAAGTATTTTCCTTTCTTTAAATATTAATTTTCTATTATATATTTATAAATATGGTATTTATTTTTTTAAATAAATGCCAGATTTATAAATAGAGTTTAAAAGTAGTTTTAACCCTTTCATAATAATTTGAAACTCCGCCGACGATCTGCGGATAATACTAAACGGAAATAGTAGTAGGTTTTGCTTTCAGTTCCCAAGAAATTAAATAATATAATTAACTTACATTTATATTTTAAAATAATTATATTTATAAAATCATTCAAAAGCCCTTAGTTTTCTCGTTATTTCATTTTAAAAGCGTAATAATTTAAAGAAATAATAGTGACGTATATCAAACGTATGAAAATTGATATCACAGAGTACTTTTATATATACTGAAAATTGATAGTGTTTAGTTTAATTACTAATCTGTATTTTAAGATATCCCGACTGGTGGTCATTATCGGGATGATTTACCGCAATTAACACGTTTGGCGATAAGACCAAACGATACTGTTACTCTGGATCCTCTACACAACACATGTTTTGTGTGCACAGCTTCACAGTATCCAGTACTGAATACACAAAACTGAGAGAGAGAAGCTCTTTAGTAGAATATATTGAGTGTCTATCGGCATAATTTTCATTTCACCAATTGACAATTAATAATGCTGGGAGACTTTTAACTCTATTTGATGGAATAGTTCAACAATCGTGCAAAAACTGTTTCAGTTTTTATGAATTTTATTTAAACAAATACGTGAGTCGTGTAGTTTACGTCCAGCGCAGCGAACACTTTTTTGGCCAAAAACTCTCTGCGGCCTGTGTCTACGTGTAAGGCTGCTACTTTTCTGCCGACTTCCGAAAAGGACAAGGTACTCAATTCGACTGTATTTTTTTTTAATGTGTTTCGATGATTTTTTTTATACGAAAGCTGATACTTCTCGTGTGGTTCCATATGAATTTGATCAAGGTCAGATCAATCGTTTTTGAGTTATTCTTAATAACTTATATTGAAGTCTGCTGTACAAAATGTTGAATTTTAAATTATTTAGTTATAGTGGGGCAATCATGCAGTTTTTGTTTCTTTCATATTTTTGGGGATGTTACTTTTTTGTTTTTTACTCTACCGTAAATATTAAGAAGTCAATTAGGCTGGATATTTGCTATAGTTGTCACCCTTGGCAGGCGGGTTGGCAACTGCAGCTTTTACTATTTTGAACTGTTGTCAGGAAGATGACATTGTCCGTCTCCTCTGTCACCACTTATGACGCCCGTGGGATGGTATTATGTGGCGGATTCTCTTTCGCCGCCAAAACAAGGTGAACGTTTTTCTACTCCCGTTCGTGTGTGTAGTTTTTCTCACGTTCACTGTGAATAGAATTTGATTTTCAATCAAAATAATCTTAAGGATTTTATCGCGTTTAATTTTATCTTTTTTAATTCTTGACGTTTCGGGCTCGCATTAGCCAAGTGTGGGGGGGGGGGGAAGGGATTGAGGTGTTTCACCTACCGGCATTCAGCCATCTTCCATATTGAAATTAGAATGTTTTTTAATTTCAATAAGTCTGTGATTCACATCAGCGATATGTTCTTTTCCGCGTGTTTATAAGGAACTTTCATCCAAAGATGTGTAAAAAAACCCGCAAAAACAAGTTAATATTAAATTCTTAATTCAAAAAATTCTTTGGAAAATAGATATAGAGACACAAACACCGAGGTGATTTGAAAAGTGATCGAATTTTGCTGAATTTGGAACGGAACATTATTTCATGATGTTCCTTAGTTGAAGCCCATGCGAGTGAAGCCGTGGGTAAAAAACTAATACTTAATAAAATATTGCGGTCATGCGACAGCCTTTCACAAGTCAACTGAAACTAGGTATGCTGAACATAGGCCTCCCCCAAGGAATGCCACAAAGCACGGTCCTGAGCCACCTGCATCCATCGACTTCCTGCATTTCTTACCAGGTCACTCCATTTCGTGGACGGTCGCCCTACCTTCGCCTACCAGTACGAGGCTGCCACTCGAGAACCTTTCTTCCCCATCGGTTGTCGGTTCTTCGAGCTATATGACCGGCCCACTGCCACTTCAGCTTACTAATCCGTTGGGCTACGTCGGTTACTCTGGTTCTACTGCGGATATCCTCATTTCTAAATTTATCACGCAGAAAAACCCCGAGCATAGCCCTCTCCATAGCTCGCTGAGCGACCTTGAGCTTCCTCATACGGCCAGCAGTGAAGGATCATGTCTCAGATCCGTAAGTCATCACTGGAAACACGCACTGGTTGTACAATTGAATTCGTCGATTGATCTCTCGGTCGAAGTTGGACTTACCTAGTCGGACTATTTGTCCCAGGTAAACATACTCGTCAACAACTTCGAGCTTAGTGCTCCCAACAACTACCGGCATAGGTGTGACATGGACGTTAAACATGATTATTGTTTTGTCCATGTTCATCTTAAGACCTATCTGTTGGGAGTGACTATTGAGGTCATTGAGCATAGTGTTTAGGTCCTCCATCCATTCTGCCATAAGGACTATATCGTCGGCAAATCGAAGGTGAGTGATGTACTCGCCATTGATGTTAATACCGCATCCTTTCCAGTCCAGCAGCTTGAAAACTTCTTCCAATGCAGCGGTAAAGAGTTTCGGGGATATAACGTCACCCTGTCTTACACCTCTCTGCAGTTGGATAGGTTTCGTACTCTGATTCTGTACTCGGATAGCTATCGTAGCTCTACTGTACAAACACTTCAGCACATTGATATACCGACAGTCAACTTGGCACCACTAGAGGGACTGCAGCACCACCCAAATTTCGACGGAATCAGAGGCTTTCTCATAGTCCATATACGCAAGGCAAAGTGGCAGATTGTACTCGTCTGTCTTCTGTAAAATTTGCCGAAGAGTGTGTATGTGGTCTATGATACTAAAACCTTTTCGGAAACCGGTTTGTTCGGGAGGCTGAAAATCGTCAAGTCTGCGTGCGAGACGATTCGTAATGACTCTCGAAAACAGCACGTAGACGCGGCTCAGACGGGAAATCAGTCTGTAGTTCTTCAAGAGAGCGTTGTCGACTTTCTTGAAGAACAAGACCACCGCACTTCTGCTCCACGCCTCCGGAGTGGTGCCACCGAATTAAAGAGCTTCTGAAGGACTTCAAGTACCGGTTTTCCACCCGCTTTCAAAAGCTCCGCTGTAATTCCATCCTCGCCCGGGGACTTTCTGTTTTTAAGGTGCTGGAGAGCCATTCTAATCTCGCTCAGACTGACGTCGGGGATATCTTCGGAATAGTGTCGGATTAGACTCGCTCGTGAATCGTTACTCACACTTGCGTGTGGTTCCAACGATGACGTGTACAGCTGCCCATAGAACCTCTGAATCTCACTCAAAATCTCAGGTGTCCCGGAAACGATCTTGCCACATTCGGTCTTCAGCTTTGACAGTTGGCGCTTTCTGGCTAGACTTTGGCAAGACTTTGGAGCCTTGGTTCCGCTCGATCGCTTCTTCAATACAAGCTGTATTGATGTTGCGTAAGTCCCGCCGCATACATTTAGAGATCTGTCTGTTCAGTTACCAGTATGCTGTCAAATCTGTTGAAGAATGTAGCTTCATGTCCCGTCTAACAGCCATGAGATTAAGAGTGTGATCGGAGAGTTTTTGTGTTCTTCTGCGGCGGGTCTTGCAGAACTTAACTCCGACCGCATGGACAGTTTCCACGGGCATGTCATTCATATCGTCCACTTCATTGCAGTCTTCTAGGCACTGAAAACGGTTTTGTAACTCGAGCTAAATGGTTTTGGGACTTTGGAACAGAGCACGAGAGGGACGGAGCGTTGACTTCATTAGACGAGACCTCTCCAACTTAACGTTTAGGTTCAGTGTACCTCTAACCATTCGGTGATTGCTACCAGTTTTCACCCTCGCGATCACGGAGACATCACTGAACAGTTGTCGTCTGGTCGTCGTAATGAAGTCAATATCATTTTTTGTAGAACCGTCCGGGGCTCGACCAGGTCCACTTCCTGTGGGGCCGCTTCTGGAAGAAAGAGTTCATCATAAAGAGTCCCTCTTTCTCCATGAAGTCAGCCAACTGCTGGCCCCTTGGGGTCCGTTACCCTATTCCGAATTTCCCTACTTTCAGGTCACCGTTCACTCTTGTGCCTAGTTTTGCATTGAAGTCTCCCATTAACACCGTATAGTGGGTTTTGGAGGAATGAATGGCTCTAGAGATATCCTCATACATTTCCTCCACCTCCTTATCGGGGTGTGCCGAGGTTGGTGCGTAAACCTGTATGACCTTCAGCAGATACCGTTTGGTTATTCTGAGTATAAGGTACGCAACCCTCGTCGACACACTCTCAATCTTTACAACGTTGTTAACGAGAGACTTGTGGACGATAAATCCGACACCACCTTGGGACAGATGGTTGCCCTCCCGGTAATAGAGCAAGTTGCCGGATTCGAGGATTACCGTGTCCTCCCCCTCTCTTCGGACCTCGGATAATTCTATAATATGCCAGCGTAACTTGTCTATCTCTTCTTCCAGCTCCACGATCTTCTCGTCAGTCCTCAGGGTGCGTGCGTTCTATGTTGCCAGGTCAAGTCGTCTTAGGTGGCAACCGAACCTCTAGCCTCCACCGGAGATTCTTAGCACCCCCTGCCCTGCCGTTACCATGGTCGCCACCGTAGCCAAGAATAGCGGGGCCACCGGGAACTGGGGGCTGTCTCTTAGTAAACTTTATTTGCCATAGTTGCCACGCTTGGCGAGCGGGTTGGCAACCGCAGTTTTTTTTATTGTATTTTTGCTGTTATCAGGAAGATGCTGCCCATCTCCTGCCTGTTTCCCTTTGTCGCCTTTTACGACACCCACGGGAAGATATGGGGTAGTGGATATTCTTAACCGCCACTACACGGCAATGTTTGTATGCTGGTGGTTTTTTGAAATAAATAAATAAATTCTTATACTCACTAAGCACTAACTAGACCTTTCTCATCGCAGTCGTATTTGCTTGGCTGAATTTTACACAAAACTTCGGGGTCATAAAAAGTTAGGTCTGAAATAAACGAAAAATGCACTGATTTTTGTTATGTCATTTGTAAATTTGTTCGTGGTGTACAATAAAAGTATATTCATTCATTCATTCATAGTTATGTTTATCCGTCTGCAGACGGAGAGTTATGTTTTTCGGGTGTGTATATTTGTAACTTTGTTTGTTCCGTTACGGCCTTATGCGTCTCCCTCTCCGGAGCATGATAGAATATTACATTTTAAATTACAAGTACTAACACGGCGCAGGCACGATTTTACAATATGGTACTTCCCCAATATGGATTATGACAAACTACTGATACAAGATGATTTCAAGATTCGAGTTTTTTTATAATCTCATGGATCCTGTAACGTTGAAGATATGCATAAATGATATGATAATAAATGACAAATAAGCTAAAAAATTGCAATGCGTATCGTGATAACGCTATGTAGTAAACTAACGCAATTTATTTGGCTCCTCAAAAGGCATGTTAAGAGTATACTAGACTCAAACTCACTGCTCCACAAGATACTCAAATATGTTACAGCAATATTAGAGTCTAAAATAATATATTTCAGTTTATTTGTGCCCTTTTTGTTAAATTAACATAAGTGTTTTATTATAGAATAAGGGCACACTGTTCATCTGCCGCTAAGTGGACGCTGTAGCCCATAGATGTCTAAACCTATCGTCGATTAAGAATCAAAATGCAGATGCGCTGCCACCCCTGAGGACTAAAATGGAATGCCTCATTTCCAGTAAAAAGGGCCTCCGGGTTCTCTACATTCACCAAACAAAACACAACAGCATTAAACTGCTACTTTACGTTGATATTTTGTGAGAGCGTGGACTACACCGGCCGAGCCGACCCATTCGTGCTACAACCATAATATAGCTGAAGCGTGGCCCTACCACTTAAAAAGTTCTTCTTCGTCATCAAGCCATAAAGGTTATTGGAAATGCGTCTCTCCCGTTGGAGGGTAGGTTTGTCTTAATCACCACACTTGGTAGGTGGATAGCCGATTGCAGTACCAGACGTCTTGCATCTTTGATGCTGCTCCCCGTCGGCGGTCTGGGTATTTTACACCTAGATTAAATAGCTTAACGCCATCTATCGGAACGAAATGGCATGATGAATTTTCTTATAGGCCGTCGACATACCGACGTTGTAATCTATAGAACGTTTTCAAAATCGCTAATAAGTTAAACGATATATGTTGCGATAAAAGTAATTAATTACTTCCTTATCAACCTCATTGTCTACGAAAAGAAGTATGATAATTGTAATGAGAAGTATACATAAAAGTGTATCTATGAAATTATAACCTTCACTATTAGGTTCTCGCCCAAAGAACGCCACAAAACACTTGAACCACCTACATCCATTGACTTCCTGCATCTCTTACGAGGTCGCCACTCCATTAAGTGGAAGCCGCGCTTCACTTTGCTTATCTATGACAAACTTATTCAAAACAAACTGCAAATTACCAACCATTAGGGTTATCGTCAGTTGTATTTATAGCTTCACATGTTTGTATTAACAGAAAAACAAAAAATGAAATTACAAAATATCCTGTCTCAAGAAACATAAAATCCTTCTACGCTTACTTGATTGAATAAGAAATCAATGGAAACCAAAATTAATTTCATGGTTAGTAAACCATACTAATCCACTACATAAACATAAAACACAAATAAAAGGCTAAAGGCTTATTTTCGATCGTCAGAATAAAAGTTATTCATGAAATAAATTTAACTAGATATTTAGGTTTTCACGACACAGTTCTTTGAACGATGTCATCCGAAGGGCTCTTGTCTGTATAAATGTTCCCTCGGTTTTAGAGCCTTATGGAATATTTAGAGACGATGGCAGGAGATCCGACGGTTATACATTGGTCCCTTGGGAGAGAGGTAAAGCCCTAGTGTGGGATGCTACTTGCGTAGACTCTCTGGCGGCCTCTCATCTCAGGGGTACCTCGTTTAGAGCCGGGGTGGCATCAGAGGCAGCTGAACTGAGTAAGTGGCGCAAATATGACTACATATTTGTGCCATTTGCTGTAGAGACTATCGGTCCGTAGGGTCCACGTGCGGTGAAGTTCCTAAAGGAACTCCATTCACGGCTGGTAGTTGCTGCTGGTGATAAGAGGGCTGGTTCTTTTCTCGCTCAATGGCTAAGTATAGCCATTCAGCGGGAAAACGCAGCCAGCGTTCTTGGCACGATACCGCGGGGCGTAGGACTATATGATAATTTAAGTTTCTAGTTTTAGTTTTTTTTTATATATTTTATATATTATTATAGTTTTTAATATTGTATATATAATAAAAATTTAAACACTAGATATTTTATTCATTTAAATGTAATATTTAAAATACAACATATTATACAAATTTAGATTATGTAGTATTTTATTCGATATACAACTTTTATCTAATGATTGAATGATCATCACTATCAAATTTAACGTGCACGTTCTGCCAGAGAAGCAAGGCTGACAATGGCTTGATCTAAAGCTTGCCGCTCAATTTCAGGTGTTATCGCTTTTTTAACATTCTCCAGTATCCAAGTAATCATCCACTTCTGGTGAATATTAGTCTCAATTTGATGTCGTTTCGCGTGATAATCTAAACGATCTTTTAAAATTTTGAACACATGCTTTAATCTCTCCCGATGAAGATACATAATCTGTGTTTTATTCTGATTTTGTTCTTTATAGACTTAAAAATAATATGCTTCGTAATGTTCGTAATACAGGTATTAATATCGGTCACGGTCTGTACTTGGTTTTAAACGTGTCTAACGCCCTTAAAGGTTAAAACAGTAATAGAAAAACCCGATTGCGTAAAATTTTACTGAAAAGATAAAATAAATATATCTCTAGAAATATATCACCATAGATTCTAAGCCAGTGCTTGACTACTATCCCACCCATTGGTAAGCAGCCGTAGATGGTAAAGAGCACGGACAACAGAAATCTGTAATCAATATCATTCTTGCCTTGAAGACACCCACAAAATCGGAAGGAAAGAAAGATGCTGCCAATTTATTCCACTCCTTTCCTTGATTCCTTTTGATTGATCGATTAAGTAAACCGTTTGGTTCGAATGCGTGAGAAGTTGACAAAAAAGGGGTGGACACTCGCTGATTTCTGTCGCCAAACAGCAGAGTGCATACTGCTGTTGCTAGAGAGCCAGTATATTTTCAGGCTGTTAGGCATTCCATCTAAGTCTTTAGAGGTGATAACACATCTGTAGATATGTGCGTTTGACGTCGCTTGCAGATGTCTATGGTCTGCAATAGCTACTTACTATCAGATGGACTATAAATTCGTTTCACTTCAATAAAAAAAGAGCTGTATAATGCACATTTGAATCAGTATTGCTATTTACCCACGACGAAACAGAGAAGGTGTATAATGCGTTTAGGGTGGGAGATTGTGTTCTTGAGACAAATCCTTTACAGTTTTCTGTAAAGGATTTGTGATTAATCGGCGATGCTTCTAAGATAAGTGGTGTCAATTCGCCAGGGGCGCGGCAATAAACATATTTGTGCAAACGAATTTTCCCATTTTTCCAAAACGGTTTAACCGATTTGGAAACGGTTTTCTGTATAGAGTTTGTAATTCATAGGCGCTGATTCTTAGATAGATGTTATGATGTTTACTTAGCAGGGGGCACTGCAATAAATATATTTGTGCAAAACCATGTTCCTTTTTATTTTCCAAACAGTTTGACCGATTTGGATATGATTTTCTGTAAAGGGCTTGTAATTCATCGGCAATGATTCTTAGATAGATGTGATGGTGTTAACTTACCAAAGGGTGCTGTGGTATACATTTTTTACTCGTTAAAGTGAGTAGAAGCGAATTTTTCCCCGAGACGTTTGGACTTATTAAAAGCGGATATCGATTTTACAGAGCACGTTTGGGTTCTTAGAGTATCATCACTATGTTAATGCCATAATTACAGAACTGGATCAAGACAGCTTTGTATCCTTTCATCGGCCTGTAACCCATACAACGTGCTTCTCAATCGCTCTAACTCTTGCTATTATATGCTATTATGTATGACAGATATTTAGACAGCAACGCAGGAATTGTCTAAAAAGTCTAAAACAAAATGCAAAATTAAAATTAAGCAAACCCATGTCAATCCGTCGGTGCTGCCATTCCCAGTCCTCAAATGAACTAAAATTTGCATTTTTATGACTTTGTGACTAATTGAAATTACGTTGGGTACCTACGAAAATAAATGTAAGTAATTTTTCATTTATATAAATTGCTGCATCTCTTACCTTTCTGTATTGAAATTGTTAACAAAGATGGGAATGACACCCCAGACGGATTTACTTGGGTTCGTAATTACATTACCTAATAGGTGGGTGAATATTTGTGGTACTTACGAGTATATTTGAAACTAGCTGATACCCGCGATTTCGTCCGCGTTGCTTGATATATTAACAAAGAGAACACACTGAACTCTGAACACGTAGTGCTTATAAAAATCGTTGTTTCTAAAAACTTTAATAACTTTATATTAAATGAAGATATCGCAATATATTTTTTGACATAAGGTCCAAGTGTCTAAAAAATAAAAATTAGAAAACATAACTGAAATCTATCCAGTCTATCGTAGTTTTTACGTGATGCGCGCACAGCTGCAAACCTCTATCATCTTATTTATATTGCTGTGTCTATCGCTATGACAAACAAATAGGTACGCGAAGGTAGGCAGGTCTAAGGAGAGTAATTAATTGTTTATTATGACAGACCTCGCGACAAATGAACCTTTGTTTTAAAACGCTTTATTGAAACGAATTTCCTTATCGGAGGGTACGGGTTCGGCAGATGGGAGCTAGGCGACACAAAGTGTAAGATTTTTTCGTCACTACACCTTGAGTCGTAGTGTATTTTATTTTAAATGACGCTTCATTTTAATAGACGCTAGTAATACATTTATTTGTATTTGTTAATCAATAATATAATACGTTTATCAATAATAAGAAACTTCGTTCCAACCGTGTTCCACGACACTTACGCATGTTT